AATGATGGTGCCAACTTGGGCCAGTGAAGCAACGTCCTCCACAACTAGACTGAAGAACAAAAGGACAGCAACTTGTCTGTTCCCCTTCCCCCAATTATTCCCCAACTTAACAAAAAACAAACCTGTTCAAATACAATTCTCATAATCTTAAAGCTCAATAACCTTTTAAAAATGTCCACCTTCTTGGGAAGTCCTGTGATTTTCCCTTGTGTCCCCAACCCCCATGTTTGTATTAGCATCTGTAAGCCTCCAAGAAGCTAAAATAGCAAATTCAAAGCTTAAGACTAGTTATATTTCTGTGTCTACTTCTCCTCCTCCCCGCTTTTTTTCTTAAGTGCCAGGCAATTGTATTTCCAGTGTCCTGATTTTTTAATATCTGCAAATATTCTGAAGGTAAACAGGAAGGGTCTGAGTGGACTGTGATTTTTGTTGTCATTGCTGTCCTGCCATCTTATTAAGGGAGTCTTAATGGCTAGTTATTATATCAAGATGAGAACTCTCTAAAAATTTTTTTTCAATTTAGAAGTTTTTCCAATTCAAGCATTGTCTGGCCAGTGACGGTAGGATTTTAATAGCAACTCACACCATAAACCTTTTATGCCTAACCAAGGAAGCAAAAGGCTTCCAATAAAGAACGCAAAGGATACAGCCCTTGTGGATACAACAGTTCACTTGCAGAGTTGGCCTAAGAAAGATGGGGAGCCCTGTCTCTCAATAGCTGTTCCAAAACACATGGAATCCTGTAATCTGTGCCCCCCCCCCCGACCTTTTGAACAGGATATGGTTTAAGATTCCCTAAGCTTGGGCTGCTCACCACCACATGCAGATGTGTCATCCAGCTGCTGGAGATCCTAGACTGTCTCTGGAAGAACTGATCAGTAGAAAACAAGAGCACTCAAGCCAAGTTTTCACAAGTCGTGTTTGCCCAAGAAACTAGTTTCACAAATGTTGTCTCCTGCCAATCTAAATCAAGGAGAAAAGGGGCTCTTACCACTTGACTTACACCAAAACCCAGACAAGACTTGAGAGAGGCTGATGGGGTAAAATGGTCACCATCTCTGCTGGCTGTGGTCAGATGTCCCTTATCTCTTAGCTGTGCAGTCCCGTTTGCTCGTAGTGGCCCAGCCTGTGAATGTTCTTGGCTGGCTTGCTAAAAACTATGGGGGCTAAAATACTTTCCCTCTCACCTTCTAAGTTCTTCTAGCTGGGCTAATAATCAAATTAACAGACAGATTCATAGAAAATAAAATTTTATGTAACATGCGCATGGAGAATTCACACAAGCATGAAAATCCCAGTGAAGGGTGATAAACGACAGGAGGGCTTAAAGGGATAGTTCCTGCTGAGAAATGGAGGAGTATGAGATTTGCCAAGAAAACCAGAGCTCTGGGGTCTGCTCTCCCATCCCACCAGAAAGGCATGGCCTTAACTGGAGCACAGCAACGGCTCACAGGTCCTAGTGCAGAGCCACTCCTCAGAGGGGCCTTCTCTGACAACTGTTGCTGCTCGTCCTCCACTTTACCATTATCCTGTTTTATTGTCTTCTTTAGTCACCATCTGAAAAGCTGGTTATTTCACACCCCCCTCTCCTCCTCTCCCCTCCCCCAGGGCTAGGACTGCCTTGTGACTACTGTGCTCTGGTTGCCTGCAGCCTGGTGGTAGCAAGCATTCAAGTTTAAATTAATAATTGATTGCCTTGCACTGGGTGTAAAATGTTCCTATTGGTCCATATAGGCAACAGATCTTTAGTGCTTGCATCAGGCACATTTCTATGATTAGAAATAATGTGAACAGTACGAAAATTCCCATTGTCATAGAACTTAGGTTCTAGTGGTACAGAACTCACAGCCTGGGAGTCCTCCTGTATTGTGACGTGTATACAGCCAAAGAGCAAAGCAGGTCTAGAGAAGTTGAAATGCAGACACCTGTCAGTCAAACCACTCTGTGTCCGAGATATTCATTTCCCCAAGTCTAGCTTCCATTCAGGCCTGAGTTGAGTAACTTCACCTGTTAATTTAAAATGTTGCATATTGCATAGCAGCCTGTAGATCATCTGCATTTCTAACGAAAATGTTTTAAGGAAGGAGTGATGTTATGTCCCAGTATTTTTTCATTCAGGTCACATCTGAGAATCAGTTTTGTTGAATCAATTTGCTCAACAGGACAGGTTCCTTTATTTCTCCATTTTGCCTAGGAACTGATTGTGGGCAAAACGTGATCATTTTATCCATTTCCCTTTCAGGTAGCAATTGTCGTATTAGGAAACAAAATCGACCTTTCTGAGCAGAGACAAGTAGACGCTGAAGTGGCACAGCAATGGGCAAAAAGTGAGAAAGTGCGACTGTGGGAGGTAACGGTTACAGATCGGAAAACTTTGATTGAACCATTTACTCTGTTAGCCAGCAAACTTTCCCAGCCCCAGAGCAAATCAAGCTTTCCTTTGCCTGGGAGGAAAAACAAAGGGAACTCTAGCTCTGAGAACTAAAAATCAATGCCACAATTGTTTGCTGAATAGTGATTGCCTTTAAGTGTCTGTGTACATATTTAAAATATGCCAATTGTAGCTACCTTTGGTCCTTTGGAAATCCCCAAGGAAGTAATTAATGCACTTTAGGTTTTAAATTATTTGGGCTAAGTTTATAATTGCCTGATATAAAATATTTGCATTCTGGTTGCTTGAAACATGTCCCTGATATTAGCGCCATTGTTATTTATACTTTAACCTATGAGTAGCAATGCCCCCCCCAACCTGTTTCAGAAGCTATCATTCTATATAACTTTAAACACTCTTAGCTCAAACATAACTTTGTTTTTTTAAAAATTCACTAATCATTTAATGCCTAGGATTATAAAGTAGCATTTTTTTTGGTGTCCAAATCAGATCACAAACAGTAAACAATTTGGGTACTAAGTGATCTAAATTTTATCTGGTGGAGATCTTGCTAAAGAGAACAAAACTTATGATTTAGCTTTGTTCAAATTATATGTTTAGCATGACTTGAGGTAGTAGGTGGTATAAATACATTCATTCAAACTATTTCTCCCTTCTTTAGAAAACTGCTAGGCATGTAAGGACAGAATACTATACCTTCTGGAATAGTTTTCTGTATATGTAGTCTTGTGGAATAAAACATTTCATAAAAATATGGGAGTGCAGGTAGTCTTCAAGTTAGATATATCTCTGAATTCTGGCAAGATCTGAGCAGTGGGGCTCATTGTATTTAGCAAATTGACAATATTTTAACTAATTGTAATAAGCAAGCTACTCAGTGGGTTCAATGTGAAAGCAGTTAACTATTTGATTACATTTAACTATTGAAGTATAAAATATGATATACACTGTTGAGCAAAGAAATGTAAAAACATCTAGTAAATTTTAACATCTTAAAATGGAATACTTTGAAGGCTAGCTTCATGAAATAAGCTCAGTTGGCTCCGCTCAGTGAGTTCCAGCCAAGAACTACATATAAAAGATATAAAACTTATAAATCAGCTAGTGCTGCTACCCTATAATTCTTTAAAATGTCTCATCACATTTTTTTGGTCAAAAATTATCACTCAGATATGGTTACTTTAAGTCATTCCCTGCCTTCTCTCCCAGTTACTGAGTGTTTGATCTTCTAGCCTTTTTCTTATGTAATTTACATAGATGGATAAATACTTTTACTATTTTAAAATATACTAGATATTCTGCAGTTTGCTTTTTTCTACTAACTCAGATCTATGTTAGCATGCATATAGTTACCATATTATTTTTAAATGCTCAATGAATTTGTTATGCACCTTCACCCTGTGCACCTGGGTGAGTTTCTCTGGCATAGATACAAAGAAATAGAATTGCTGCCTCCTAGAGAGAGTTAGTATCGCTATGTTAGAGAGCAATTTGGCAGTACCCAATTTATCCATCAGAGAACCCATTTCTCAGGTACTTGCCACCACAGCATCTGCACTTTAGAAATGCTTTTAAAAAGATGCAATTGGGTTCATCTTTGAAAGGTGATGGGTTATATTATCTAACCTTTTCTAAGCTACTTCGAAAATCTATCCTGCAAGGCTGTTGTGTAAATTAGAGTAACATACTAATCCTAACATAGATGCTTTGATACATGATACCAATTCATTGTCTGCAGTTACTTCTAGGTTGCTTCTTTAGTAGCAAAGATCATTCAAGTTTAAATAAAAGAAAGAATCTGCATACTGCAAACAAAGGCAAAAGAAAGTAAATGAATACAGCAGTGTTAGGTGGTTGTTTTAATATTTTTATTAGCACAGTAACAAATGCAGACTTAAGTAGTCCACGACATATAACCAATCCACTGAGCAACTCCTAGTCACGCCTTACAGTTAACTGCTTAAGGTATTTCACTACAGGTTTTCACGAGTCCTGATTCAAACCTCTAATCTTTTCACAATAAAGTAGATTGGCATATAAAATAAAATACATAACTACTAATTTCCTATATGGTGTCTTATAGTCACGTGCCCATTTGATATATATGAGATGACAATCTCTAAAAACTGTTGAATATCAATGTTTCCTTCCAAGAAGGGAAAACAAGTTCCAATTTTTTAAACAAAAAAAAGGATGTAGTCTTGGAAGGCCTTCACATAAATGGCCATGTGTGTAACCTGTACAAAATTAAGCTGTTTTCAATTTACAGACTACAAGCAACTGAACCCAAATGTCTACTCTTCTCTGTACTACATTTCAGCTAATATTGCAGAACTAATGACAATTTAAAATGTTGCTATTACCAATTCTGTCTACTGTAGCAAGATACCTTAAGTTACAACAAAATCTTAGGAAATAAGACTGAATAATATCTGTTATAGAAATACCCTACTCTTTACCAACTCCCACCCTCCCCCACCCCTTCAAAATCATAAGCAGCTCTCTCTGTGACAGACAAATAATGTAAGAATTGTGAAAACCCAATTTATGTAGCGTATCTCTTGGTCCACTGTCTGGCCATTCTGTCATGTTCTGCTCTGTTGGTCATGTACTGAGTGGCAATACTTCCCACCAAGGGGTCGGC